ACCGAGACCCAGCCACAGCCGTCGCGTAAGATGGCCTCCTCCCCACAGGGACGCCGCGGCCGCCCCAGGGAGCGAGGGCTTCATGGGGGTTGGACCAGGCGCTCCTGACGGTCTGCTCCAGCAGCGAGGCCCTGCTTGCCCACCCCATGCCCCACGCAGGCTCTGCTGTCCGACTCCGTGCAGACGGGCGTTCCCAGACGCAGTGGCAGGGAGGAGGACGCTGCTACGTCCGGGCGGTGGGATGGACACGGCCAGTCAAGACACGGCTGATGGCTGGTTTCTGTCACCTGCTGGAACCCTGTGGCTTTTCCACCTTCTTTCCTCCTGACATGGTTGGCCCACCTCAGTTTCTTCAGTGCAGGCACTGTGTGTGGGAGCACTTCACGTGTGCTTCTGCTGCCCTGCACGTGTGCCATGGTGGCGTGGATGTCCCCGGGTCTTTGCCTACTGACCCTTAGCTCAATCTGGGCGCTCTAGCCAGCGTGGTCTGCTCTCTCCATCTTTTTTAAAAATTTGCTATAGGGTATGTGTGCTTATTGGAGAGAGACAGAGATAGAGAGAGAGGAAAAGTAAGAAAGCCCCCTCCCTGGGGAGGGAGGGATAACTCGCTGAAATCCTGTATCCTCCATTCTCTTTTTGGGATTTTGGGGCACGCATGCACACGCACCCAGAGTATTTTCCAAGCCACAGGGTCTGGGACTTGAACCACAAAGTCAGCCATGTGGGATCCATCTGTCTTAACCAGCAGGCCACCGAGCTGGCCCTTGGTCTGCTCTCTTGATCCCCAACTTGCCCAGACTTTCAATATCCCTTCATCTATACCGCTCTAGCCTGACTCACAGCTTGGCGGTCGCTGTCGGTACCCCTTTCTTTCCAAGACGAGGGCCCCGTGGGGTGGCAAGGACAGGGCCCCGCACTTAACAGGGAGGCTCTCCATGACTCCTGTGCAGGGTGAGGGTGTGGCCCTGATGGTCGGCCTTACCTGCATGGGCTGGCAGATGATGGTGAGGGGCGTCGTGTCCCCCAGGCCCTGGTCCTCGTACTGCCGCCTCTCCGTCACCCCGTCGCCCAGTGTGAGGGAGTTGCAGGAAGACGTGTTTAAGATGGAATATGAGCTGCAGGGGACAGGAAGGAAGAGGTGACCAGCTTTGGATGGGGGTTGTCGGCCCTTCGTCTGGGGCCTAAGAGCAGTGTGGGGACCATCTGAACCCCTCTCTGGGTCATGCAACAGCTGGGGGAACTGACGCCTTCTGGGCAGGGTCACCCTGTCTTATACTGAGGCCTTGCAGCTCACGCGCGGGGTGGACGAGCCCCGCGGGGACCAGGAGCACTCGGCCCTCTGGGCAGCCACAGGGCCCAGAAGTGCTGTGTTCTTTGGGATGCCACAGGGCGGCTGGCACCCAGGCGTGGTAAAGAACGACGCAATGCCAATTCCGTGCCACTGATTCCAGCCATTTTTAGGATTCAAAAGAAACGATCAATTCCCGTTGCCTTTACTCTTCCCCATGGTAACTGCCATCTGAAGTGAGAAGGAGGGATTTTACCATATCCGCAGTTTGGCTTCTGGCTCCCGAGGGTCAGAGAAAGCTTGGGGCCCTTACCCCTGACCCCGCCCTACTCAGGCTCCAATCCCCATCCCTGTTACAGTAACACCTGGGCGGGGGAGGGGGGGGGGCTGCAGACTACCTTCAAGCCCACCCTCACCCGACACATGGCTCTGGCCAGGAATTCTCATTCCTGAGTTAGCACTGTAATCGCAGAAGTCCCAGAGAGGTCTTGCTGGAGGAGGACTGCCAGGTCTGCTATGTTGAAATTACCGGGACTGTCAGACCTCCAGAAAGCTTGCCTTATAGCCATCCTATCAAAACACGGCTGTTAGGCAGATTCACCCACTGTCTCCTTCTGCATCACAATGCCGTGTGTGTGAGTGAGTGTGTAAGAGTGTGTGTGTGGGGGGCAGTGGCATTTACATTTTAGTGTTCTGTTTTGTTTTGCCATATAGCACCTAGCAGAGAAAAACAGAGAGAAAGTGAGAAGTCATCCCCCACCCTCAGAGGGAATGGCCACACCAAAATCCTTCTCCATTCTCCTCCCGGGATTTTGCCACACATGCTTGGTATGATTTTCATGTTGCCAGGTCTGGGACTCGAACCATGATCAGCCATGTGGGAATCCAGTGTCTTAACCACCACGCCACCTGCTGGCACCACATTTTAGATTTCTTGTTCCTGCTTTGTGTATCGTGACCCAGAATACTTTTGAGTTTAGCACCTGTTCTGGCTCATTCAGTTTTCATTCATACAGAAGTTATTAGAAATTTATTTTTGAAAAAGGACTTTTCTTTTTAAGATTTTTTTAAAAAAGATTTTTGCTATAGGGCACGTGTGTTCCCTGGAGAGACAGAGACAGAAAGCGAGAAATCACCCCTCTGGGGGGGATGGCCACGCCGCAATCCCTTCCATCCATTCTGTTCTCGGGATCTTGGGCACGCACATGTGCCTGGCATGAGTTTTAAGCCAGGGAGTCCAAGACTCAAACTGTGGTGGACTATGTGGGAGTCCAGCAATGTAACCATTAGGCCATCTTCTGGTCCTGGAAAAGGGCTTTTTATATTCACCAGTATAATAAAGCTGCTTATTATTATTTTTCAAAATATGAAATGAGTGCTAAAATATTAAAATCATCACTCTTTCGCTCTTAGAAATGACCTGTTTCTGACTACAAATACTGGGCTCAGTCTACTTAAAAACAAATATCTCGGGGCCGCAGGTGGCATGGCAGTTAAAGTGTTGTCTGTAGTTCAAGTCCCGGACCCTGTGGCTTGCTTTCTTACTCGCTGCCCCCGTCCCTGTCTCTCCCTGGTGTGTACACATGCCCTATAGCAAACTACAAAGTGAGTAAGTAAATAAATAAATAAAATAATTCTTAAGCAAACAAAACCCAAATGTCCCAGAAGGTTCATAACCTGAAAAAGTGATTTTTCACCTCCATGCATGTCAGAAGCTCCGGGGAACCTTAAACACGCACGCCTGGGTCCTGCCCCCCTAGACTAGCCCAGTGGGTCTGGGGAGGGACCAGACACCGATGGTTAACAGGGTGCAGTGGTAAGTCCGAGGTGCCACCCAGTGAAACCAGCGAGGGTGACATCCGTGGAGCGGTGACCCTGGGACATCTCATATCGCCCTCACAGTCTGACAGACCACTGGGACCCGCCGACGCCATGCAGCCGGAGAAAGCTCGGTTTTACTTCGTATTCACTGGAGCTCCAGGTCCTGAAGTGCCTGGCTCTTCGGAACTGTGTTAAATTGTGCCCTATAGCAAACATCTCTCTCTAAAAAGAAGAAAAATCCTTTTTCAAAAATAAATTTCCAGAAACAAAAAAAATAAATTTCTAATAACCTCTGCATGAGTGTAAAACGAATGAGCCGTGCCAAACTGGAAAGGGTTCTGGTCGCGAGATGCAAAGCAGGAAGGAGCCACGGAAAGTGCCTGCCCGAGCACGGCTCTGGTTTCTCGGCTTTCTCACGGCTGGGAGGACAGTGCTGGCATCTCTTCTGTGCCTGCTTGAGCTCGCCAGGCAAGGGGAAGGTCGGCCTCCTCCCCTGCTTGACTGTCATTGTAATCAAAGCCTGAGTCCTGCCAAGAGGGCCAGGGCTGCCGTTGCAATGACAATAGACAGACGCATGATGCTGAGAGGCCCAGGGGAGCCCTGTCAGGCCTCAGGACTGCTCAGGCACTGGAAGATGCCACTCCTCTGAGGACAGGCCTGTCGTAAGCCCCAAAGGGCAGGGAAGCTCACCCCATGGCTGAGGACATGGTGGGCGTCATTGGCTGGCAGACACTGGGATGCTCAGGGCCAGGCAAGGCTCCAGGAGGGTGGAGAGGACATACCTGGCCAGCTCTCAGCGCACCGAGAGACACAGGGCAGGGAGGGATGTGAGAGGTCATTGTCCCCAGGACCCTGCATGGTACCCTGATCACTCTGTAACATCCCGCCAGGCTGGCCTGGCCAAGGTCGAGCAGCCCCCATGGCTCTGCCTCCTTGACCGTGTCTTTGGTTAGGGGAGAGGCCTGTCTTACAGAGAGGCTGGTCGGCCTCCTCGAGTCATTCCCACCCCACTGTGGAACGGGAACACACTGTTCATCCATAGGATCGCTCTGGG